CTATTCTATTCTATTCTATTCTATTCTATTCCTTCCAATATTCTATTCTATCCTATCATATCCTTTCTACTCTATTCCATTATTTCTATCCATTCTATTCTATTCTTATTCTATTCTATATTCTATGTTATTATTATTGTTAGTTATTATCTTTTATTCATTAAACATGAAACTCAGTCAACTGAATATTTAAAAATGTATCACAAATATTATTAACTGGCACTGATGGTTGATACGAATTGCTGCCAGCATCCTAGGTATCGATTTATTATTATTATTATTATTATTATTATTATTATTATTATTATTATTATTATTATTATTATTATTATTATTATTATTATTATCTTTATTCATTAAACATGAAACTCAGTCAACTAAACCTTTAAAAATGTATCACAAATATTGACTGGCTGATGGTTGATATGGGTGGGTATTATTTTCTTTCTATCATCTATCTCTGGTCAGTCTGTCTGTGTGCGAAGGGGCTGCTTCTCCAAATTAAATCCCCCCCCCTCCAAAAATAAGATCCTGAACTGCTCATAATCAGAATTCAAGCCGAACCCAGACTCCGGCTTCATTCCAGATGGGAGGTTGAGCTGGATGACCTCCGGGGGTTCCCTTTGGCATCTCTTTCCCGGAGACGTTGATTTAATCCAGCACGGTAAGCGTTAAATAAGGGGTGGGGGAGACATTGCAATGCGAGCTGCCTTTAACTCCTCCTCCTCCTCTTCTGCGTTGCTGGGGTGAGCTCAGTCCGCAGGGCTGGGCTGGGCTGGACCAAACTGTGCAGCAGACATCAGGGAAGGACAGACGGACAGACAACGCCTGAGGCAGGTGAGTGTCCTTGAGGCCAACCCCCAGCAGCAGCCCCCTCCTTCCCTCCCACCCACCCACCCACCCAAAAAAACCAGGCTGGCTTTGTGCTTGGAAATGCCAGCGAGGGATGGATGGATGGAGAGATGAGTGACAGGACCAGGAAATAAACCAAGACAGATCCTGGTTTGTTTTCCAGGCTGGGGAAACCCCTGCCTCCCCCCGCCCCCGCTACCTCTGAGCATCCTTCAGGTATGTCTCACCTGCTTCCTTATTCTTTTTCTTCCTTTCCTTTTTTTCAATGTGCATCCCTGCTCCAGATGCATCCAACCTCTGCATTGCTTCCCAAGTCGTTTGTTTGTTTGTGACGGGGAGGGAGGGGGGAGGCTGTTGGAGGAGGCGAAGCTGTCGCCATTCGAACTCTGGACACACCCCAAAGACCTTTCCCCAGTCTCCCCTCTTTCACCTCCCACCCCCCACACACACCATTTCTTCCAAGGGGCAGTCCCGAAATCTCGAGGCATCCCAGACCTTCTCTGCCATCTGGGTTTTATTTGGCGGTGTGGGGAGGGCAGGAGTAAGAGTGGGAAGGGAAGGGTTCACCCTTCTTCTTTACTGGTTGGAAGGCTGCCTGCAGTGTCATCTCTGCAGTAGCTGCCTGCAGAAAAGCAACCCCCCCCAAAAAACCCCCCCCCACAAACCCACCTAGAAACATGGTAAAATTATTTGAGCCGGTCATTTCGGTCTGTTTTTTCCTTCCCAGGGAGGTTTTTTCCTGGACTTTGAGCTGTGATCTCAGGCCCAGAGCCTGGTTCAAATGTCCCCCCTGCTAATTTTCCTCCTCTGATTGTGCTCTGCCCCAAAAACAGAGCTGAACCCCAATATCAAAGTGAGGAACTGAGATTTGAGGGCGTGGGAAACTTGCCCATCAAAGGTATTTAGCAACCAAATGGATGCCCGTAACATCAAAGCCAAAGAATGAGCGCCCTCTGGGCTCGTGCAGAGGGCCTTATTACAGGGTGGAATTAAAATTTTAAAAAGTGGGGTCTACAGTTGTGTGGGCCTCACACCGTTAGCTGAAGCAGGGTTTACTCCGTGGAGCTGATATTCTGGATACAAGCCAAGCCGTATTCGTACAACCGTGTCAGTAATTCGGACTTGATTCCAACATAATGGGTCTGTTCAGGGTTGAAAATGTTATTTTATCTCTTTCTCTGCTCTGCCAAGCCCAAAGGTTGTGAAAATGCAATTTCCAGCCACTGCAGGTAACCCAACACCTGGATTGTATACATATGGGAAATACATATATTATTTTTTGAGAAGGCCCTTGGAAGGATCTTTAAAAGGCTGGTTTTCCAGACAGGGTTGTTTTCTTCTTCTTCTTCTGTTTGCAAAGGAAGCAGATTTGCAAAGCAGCTACAATCAGAAGTGGCCAAACGCCAGATCAGAGAGAGAATGGATCTCAAAATTATTATTTGTTTTTGTAGTGTGCAAAGGGCTTTGGGAATAATTGCAAATAATGTTTTTACCTTTCTTGATTTTTGGTTTTTAGATAGATAGATAGATAGATAGATAGATAGATAGATAGATAGATAGATAGATAGATAGATAGATAGATAGATGGATGGATGGATGGATGGATGGATGGATGGATGGATGGATGGATGGATAGATGGATAGATAGATAGCTGATAGATGATAGATAGATAGATAGATAGATAGATAGATAGAT